ACAGCCGTTGCTGCCTGCAGCAGCTGCTGCTGAGGCAGTGCTGCTGCTGCTGGAGGGGCGCTGTTGCTGTTGCTGCTGCTGCTGCCGCTGTTACACAGCAGGAACAGTCATAGCAAACAGCACGCGCTGCAGCAAAAAAAATCAGAACGCGCTGCTGCTGCTGTTTGCTGCTGCTGCAGCGTCTCCTACTTACGAGTAGACTGCGTAGCTCTAGGCCCCCCGTAGGGCCCCTGGGGGCCCCCAGGAGCTCCCAGGGGGCCCCCCATGGGCCCCCTAGGGGGCCCCGCAGGGGGCCCCTAAAGCTGAATCTGTGGAAGGTATCTTCTAGCCAGTCTGCATTGAAAGAACTGGGACAATTAGGGCTTAGGGTTTAGGGTTTAGGGTTTGGGGGCAAGGTGCCCGTAGATGAATCTGCTTGGCAGCAGAAATAAACATAAATGAAAAAAACAGAAAAGATGCTTTTCATCCCAAGGAGGGGGAGGGGGCACTCGGGTGTACAGACACCCCAGGGCCGCTGCTGCGCTTGCGACGCCAAGCGCACACCTCACGGCGTGCTGCAGCTGCTGCTGCTGCTGCTGCTGCTCTTGCTGCTGCTCTTGTTGGTTGCTGTGCGCGCCCTGCAGCGCGTCCTGATGCTGCTGCTGCTGTGGCTGCTGCTCCTTTTGCTGCTCTCGCGTTTCTTGCAGTAGTTCCTGCTGCTGCTGCAGTTCCCTCGACAACCCCTGCTGCTGCGGCGGCTCCTGCTGCTGCGGTTCAGCGTGCAGTCCGTGCGGAAGCACTTCTCCCTGCTGCTGTTGCTGCTGCTGCTGCGCATTCTGCTGCTGCTGCAGCAGCGGCTGCCCGCTGCACTTCTCTTTCTGAGCTTCTGGCTGCTGGGGCTCCCTCATTTCAGGCCCCTGGGCCCTGCTGCAGGGGGCTGGCGCAGTGTATGATAGCAGCAGCAGCAGCTGCAGCAGCAACAGTCGCGTTCCTAATGCCGCTTCTGCTTCAGCTGCAGCATTTACTGCTGCTGCTATTGGCTGGCTGCATGGGGAAGCGGCATTTCCTGCAGCAGTGGCAGCAGCTGCTGCATACAAGTGAGCAGCAGCAGCAACAGCAGCAATTCCAGCCCCAACCCTTAAAAGGCCGTGGCCTCCTACGGCTAGTCCAGCGAGAACGCTGCAGCAGCAGTAGAGCAGCAGCTGCTGCACCGGGAGATCCCACGTTCCCTTGTGGACTGCAGCAGCAGTTGATGGAGAAAGCCGTGCTGCTGCTGCTGCTGCTGCCTCCACAGCGTGCCCTAGCGCTAGCAGCAGCACAAGGGGCAAAAGCAAAAAGGCCTCTCCTGACTGCCGGTTGAAGGGCCAGAGGCCCTGTGTTGCTCGCCTCTTCAGTGCTACCGCTGTTGCTGCTGCTGCTGCTGATGCTGCTGCTGCTGCTGCTGCTGCTGGGTAGACACCTAGCGGAACTGCTGCTGCAGAAGCACTCCAGTGAGATGAATAACAGGGGGGGGGACCCGAGGCGCCCTTGAATTCGAGGGCGACGCCGAGCAGCATCATGAACGCCAGCAGCAGCAGCAGCAGCAGCAGCAGTTGCTGCTGCTGCTGGTGCTTTAGCGTAACTATTAGCCTGTGTTTCTAGCTCTCAACGTTAAATTCCCTAGGCCCTAGAAGGGCTCTAATGTGCTCCCAGGTGTATGTACACCTGAGCTATGGACGCAAGCGCGAGCAGTTGTATGTGGGGGGAAGAGGGAGGGCCGCTGGTCTTCCCTTTTCTGTCCGAGCCCATTATTATTATTACTATTACTATTATTATTATTATTATTATTGTTATTATTATTATTATTGTTAGTTTTCTCCCAGTTGTGCTTCTGCTTCGCCGGGTTTGCTGCCTGAGCTGTTGTTGGGGCCTGCCGGGGTCACTCACAGGCAGTCTTTGACTATGGCTGCTACGAAGTCCCTCAGTTTAAATCAAATGAAATTAATCAAATAAAATCATAAAGTTTCATAATTAATTCAATTTATCATTTGCAAACATTTGTAAATATCTTTCCGTCGTGGGACTTCCCAAACTCAGGCACATGCGCAGCTGGCCTAGCCCGCAACTGCCCGCATGCAACTAATGCCAACTTGCGACCAAGCTCCTTTTAATTTATTTAGAAACTCAAATATATTTAATTTTAGAATTTAGTTTGAGTAATTAATTGTAAAAATGACTGAATATTTGCGGCAGCTGGCTCGGGTCCCCCCACCGACCGCCGGGCAAAAGCAAGTGACCTTGAGGCTCAGACCAGCTCAGTAGCCCAACAGCAGATACAAACAGACGCATAAAACATTACAAATGCCTAAATAAATACATTCAAAATGATATAAATGATTTTGTAAGGCTTCTAGCTAAATTTGCTTCAACTTGACCCCCCCGAGCCCCTACGCTGGGCCCCCAAGTGCTGCCCTAAGCCCCACAGTGTCCGCGCTGCAGCAGCAACAGCTGTTGATAAGCAAAGCTTTGTCTCTCTCAGTCCCTCTCCTCCCTTGCTGCTCTCTCTGCAGCGTGTGTAGACCCTCCAGCGACCCTAGAGGGGCCCCAGATGGGCCCCCGGGGGCCCCCACGGGGGCCCAGGGGGCCCCCTGGGGGCCTCAGAGGGGCCCCAGAGGGGCCACTGGTGCTGCATCCGCTGAGTGCTGCGTAAAGTCGCAGCTTTAAGGCCTCCTTGCCTCTGAGCCAGCGCTCCTTGCTGCTTCCCCTAATGGGGCCTCTCTGTCGCAGCAAGGGGCCCCTTGGGGGCCCCCTGGGGCCCCGTTGGGGGCCTCCTGGCGCCCCCGTGGGGCCCCTTGGGAGCCTCCAGGGGCCCCCTGGGGCCCCTTGGGGGGCCCCTGGGGCCTCTTGGGGCCCCCCTGAGGTCCGTTGGGGCCCCGAGGGGCCCAAGGGACCCTAAAGAGCTTTCTCTACAGGGCGCTGCAGCTTTGGACTTTCGGGTGTGCGTGCACCTTTGGACTCCCCCCGCTGCTGCTGTTGCTGCTGCTGCTGCTGTTGCTGCTGCTGCTGTTGCTGCTGCTGCACAAAGAGAGAGGGGAAAGGGAGACACTAAAAAGAGAGCTCAAGTGTCGTTCTGGGCGAGGGCCTCCTCCGGCTTCAAGGGCTTCCAGTCCTTCATCTGCGTAGCGCCAACACCCCAAACCCTAAACCCTAAACCCTAAACCCTAAACCCTAAACCCTAGAGCCCCAGCTTCCTTCATACCTGCAAACTGTCTACAGGAGTTCCAAAGAAATCCACTTGAGCTATTTTCGTCGTGGGGGCCCCCCGGTTGTCCTCTGCGGACACAGGGCAGCAGCAGCAGCAGCAGCTCTGGGGCCCCACAGCCGCCGCGCGCGGCA